TCTTGGGCATATTTTTTTAGCAATGCGAGGAATAGTGTATGGTCTAGTTTGAATTGGAAAGTTATGTAATAAATTAAATTGTGGCACGACAGCATCAGTCTCACCCAGAGTGGTGTAAGATTTTGAAAACACAGCTGAATTTTTCATGAGCATTTCAATCATCTTATTTTTTTGTTCTGCTTCTAAATGACTTAAATCAAAATCATCTGGGCTTAATTCCTCCTTTCTTAATTGTTTAATTTCTTTTAAAGTTATATGGTTAATCTGCAAATTTTGTTGCTCTCTAGGTTTTTCAAATTGTTTTTCTTCGACTTTATATACCTTACCAATCTTTTCACCCTTTCTTAGAATAATTGCGGCATTGGAATTGTTTTCAATTATGGTGAATATATATTGCCTGTCACTTATCTCATGAATTGAATCAGTCACACCTATCTTGCCCACTTTTCGCCTGTCTGGTGAGAACATTATTTGCTTTTCTTTCTGCATATTAATTGGAATGCTTAACTTTACTATCTCTGCTGTATTTGGCGCAATTCTGGTATTCAATACTACTCTTACAATACCCGACTCCTCTGGTCTACTATTCTTGTCTACCTTTTTTGCATTAATATTAGTAATTTTTTTTTCTTTTGTCCAAAAGATCAAAATATGTGTTATCAATGATTAACTGACTTTTATCTGCATCTATAAGTATCTTATTTTTTTGAATGAAATCATACCCTAAAATCATTTGATAATTTGTGTTCCAATTATGTTGTGTAACAAAAAATTGGTTGGCAAGCCATTTATTTCCTAAACGAAATTTTAAGTTTACAGCAGATACATATGGGATAGTAGCATTATTTAGCGTATGTATTCTTACAGATCTGCTTAAGTAATGAATCTTTGTGTAATTTTTTATTACTTGCAAGGTGTCTGGCTGTATTAAGCTTAAATTTGCACCTGTATCAAGTAATGCTTCTACCACAAAGTCGCCAAATTTGATTTCTATTACTGGTAATTCTGTGATACTATTAGTCTGGCAAGAAGCTACCAATTTTTGTTCATTACTTTCTTTAATTTTGTGTCGGAATCTTTCATGTGTATTTGGCCTATTTGAGTTCCTTATTTTTCTTATTTTGTCTTGTTTCCCCCAAATTTTTTTATGGGCACTTGAGTAATACTTTGTGTATCTGGGAGATCTGCAAGTACCCTTCATTAGTTTAAATTATTTGTACGAGTATTGTATCTTCTGTATTGTGGCCTATTTCTATTACTGTTCTGTAGTCTATTACCTTGCGTGAAAGCATACCGACTATTATATCTATTCCTTCTATTGATAAAGTTACCCCTATAAAAATTTCTTCTGTGGTTGTTTCTAGCCTGTCTATAATATTGAAAATTATTGTTTGAAGGAAAATAAGGACACTCTGTAGTCCAATGATTCTGTTGGCAAATATGACAAGACTCTCTATTACTACTACTTTTGTGTAGCATTATTTTCTAGTCTAGTTACATTGTTTTACACTACCATTAGGTAAAATTTCATTAAATTTTTTTTGACAAATCCTCAATGGCTCTATTATTTTGCATTTGTTGCATAATTAATGTATTTAATTCAGGTGAAAAATCATGTGTCTGTGAGCTATTACCAGAATCCTCCAATGCTTTTTCTATGTTCTTTGCCTGTTTAACAGCAGTAGCAAAATCAATAGGTCCTAGTTTTTTAACCTCCAGTCTTAAATCTGGTCTGAGAGCTTCTAAGAATTTTGAAAGCATTGCTTTTTGAGTGAGGTTATGTACCTCTTCACTCGAACTAGGATAGCACCCAAATATTTTGTGGCATAAGTATTCACTTTTTCCGCTAAGTCCTCGACTGACTGATCTGGGGTCTGTCTAATTGAGTTAAAGTTATTTTGAATTGTGTCAAATGACTGAGATTTTGCAAATTTTTTTTTACTTAGTAATGCTTTTAAATCATCAAATGACATATCTTTACACGATTCATTATCAGTTAAAATTTTAATGCTTTACCCCTCAATTGAATTTTTAACACCAAACTTTTTCTGTTCTCATTCCAGTTCTCTAAATTTGCCATTTGGCATAACTGATCTAAAAAAAAATGTTATATTTTCGTCATGCTCCCCTGAAAAAGTAGGCAGAGCAGTAGCCAGACTCATATTCATTACATTATTTTTCTTAGCCATTCTGAATCAATTTACTATACTTTAGTATCACTCTAAATTACGATTATTATTACTTCTAATGTATAGTACATTCATAAATACACTATTGTAACTTATCGAAATTTTTCACATGGATACAAGTTATTACATACTCATTACCACACAATATGATATACATTCAGGAATAATTTCTTAATACTGACCAATTTTGAATTGATATTACCATTTTCACATATCTATTTTTTATCATTAAATTATTTCACATTAGCAGGAAACAGGTCATATGGAATTCTATATATATATATATATATTATATATATATATTTTTTTTTTTTTTTTTTTTTTTTTTTTTTTTTACATATGCAATTTTCAACTTTTTCTTAATGATTCATATCAGATAATCACAAAATTTAAAATTTTATCGAATCATTACTAATATTCACCTATTTGATATCAGACATCATCACAAAATTCAAAATATTTAAGCAATTATCAAACTGGAATCACATGTGTAGTTAGTTATATTTTTAGGCATAAGCATAAAATGGTTCTCTACCTGAAATGAAACAGTTAAAACTTAAATTCCTTTTTTTTTTTTTTTTTTTTTTTTTTTTTTTTGTCACAATGTTCTCACACATATCTAAAAAAGTTGTTGCAAATACTATATTAACCAAATCACAGAATTAAAAAAAGTTTGCAAGGAAATAGAATGCAAAAATAGAAATTCTAATTCTCACCAAAATTTTTAAGATAATGAATTTCTTTAAAATTCATTAATAGCCTCTTAAAGAGATCTGGAAGTATGAATTTTTATATCTGAAAGCTCCAAAAGAGAAGGTTAAAGAAGGGTGTTTTAAAGGGTTTATAGGTTGTTTTTATTTATTTTTTTTTAATTAATTACTATTCTGTGTACTAAACAAGAGACATATATATTTTAAAAGTCCTCATGATAACCCATGACGTGAAGACTTTTTACTTTTATAGAACAATAGTTCCTTTATTTCCTTTTTCTAATTTTTTTCTGTAATTTTTATTAATGTGGTGCCTTTATTATTATTATCCTGGTCACGGCACCATAAATGTGCCTTCATTATTATAATCCTGGTCACGGCACCATAAATGTGGTGTTACGTTGGCGTGATCGCCTGAAAGTGACCGATACTAAGAATATCAAATACAAATTACTTTTGCGTAAATATCGTTAAACTAAAATTTAGTGGTTAGTACATTGCATAATCATTACTAAATAGAATTAACAAGACTTACCCAATGATGCATGCATGAGCCGAATATTTCTTTTTCCAATCTCGCATATTTATTTTATCAAACATATTTTCTGGATTAAATAAGGCACATTTATCACACACATATAAAATACTAAAATATCATAACTTAGATACACACAATGCGATAACTCAAATGGAATGTTCGTGGAGTGCCGAAGCGTGACTATTCGCGCAATCCTGTCCCATCGAATAATTTGCGGTTGAAAACGTGGTCTTATTCATCTTCGTAATATCGCGCTGTCTGGTTACACACTTGTAAGCTCTTCTTTTTTTTTTTTTACATTCATGTTATTTTTACACACTTAACATCACGTAGTGACCACATCGCTGGTCAAGCACATCTTGAAGTCGAACAGTTATTTATATTCTGCTTGAGCGTTATTTTATGTTATTCACGTCAGCCGGACTTAGTGAGTCTCAAATCAAACACTCTACCTTAGGTACTGGATCTCTTCATTCTGCTTCTTTCTCTGCAAAATATGACGACATTCCACGTGCAAAACTAGACAGGAACAAATGGCGACTGCTGAGTGTGTGTGGCCCGAAGGCCCACACACTCGCTAACACAACATCACGCAGCAAGAGGGGAAAGAGGAAAAAAGAGCGAGACAAACCTGTCCTTCCAGTTTTTATACCTTTCGACGCACGTGCTCGCGCGTGATAACGATACAAGAATCGATGTAGCCACAATGTTCTCACACATATCTAAAAAAGTTGTTGCAAATACTATTATTAACCAAATCAGCAGAATTAAAAAAAGTTTGCAAGGAAATAGAAATGCAAAAAAAAAATAAGAAATTCTAATTCTCACCAAAATTTTAAGATAATGAAATTTCTTTAAAATTCATTAATAGCCTCTTAAAGAGATCTGGAAGTATGAATTTTTATATCTGAAAGCTCCAAAAGAGAAGGTTAAAGAAGGGTGTTTTAAAGGGTTTATAGGTTGTTTTTATTTATTTTTTTTTAATTAATTACTATTCTGTTACTAAACAAGAGACATATATATTTTAAAAGTCCTCATGATAAGCCCATGACGTGAAGACTTTTTACTTTTATAACAATAGTTCCTTTATTTCCTTTTTCTAATTTTTTTCTGTAATTTTTTTATTTACAATTTAAAAAATCTAAAATTGGAATTTTCTACTCAAATATTCAGAGCTATTAAGAAAAACTTTTTGACCAATTTTTAGGCAGTTTTTTAAGTTTAATATTTTTAAAGAGTAATGGTTTTTAAAATTAAATGAATGATGTTCGTTAATTCCATTTTTCAAAGAGTCAAAAAATTTACTTTAATTTCTCTCAATTAATATTGTAATCTTTTTATTTGTCAAAATTTTAAAAAATTTCATTGAATTATTTAAAAGTTTTTCTTTTGAAATCATTATTAAATGGTAGGCATTAAATATGCAAACTTATATTAATTTATTGCATTCTTTAACTAGCATCTGAATTTGTTAATGTTCCTGTTTGATTCTATACATCACCATCAATATTCTCAACAGTATGATATCTCACAAGCTGGTCTTCAGTAAACTAACTAAACTTTATTACTGTCTGTAATTAAAGGTAATCACTTGTTTATTTTAAAATGCATTTAAGCTTGGAAATAATTATGTTTAGCAGTTACATAGTGACAGCATAACCATTACCAGTGACACCATTATCAAACAATGATTATGCACATAATTTTACATAATTTATTAATAATACTTAATAATAATAATTTTTCATAATTTACATTATTACATAAATTTCTACTTACAGATTGTTTATTCATTATGTCAAATAAGGTGATTTTCTTAATTTGAATAGGAATTCCTTTTACTTAGTTTCAGCAGTTTGCCTTGAGGGAGGTAACTCCCAAGTGTTTTGCTTTATGATTAATCACTGTTAACAAATATAATGAATAAAAATTGCAGTATGAAGATGCCATTTAAGAATGTAGGTTTTCCCGTACCAAGAAATTTGTTGCAGTTCTGGCATCCTTAGGCATATTTTACAACCTCAGTTTTTGAGTATTTTGAGATACAATATAATTATGAATCTTTTAATCCATCCTGTTCTCTCCTCCAAAAAAAGTAGCTATTCAAAATACTGCTTCTAATTTTATAGTAATTACAGAATGAACCGTTAACCCTTTGAAGGGCACCGGCATATAATATATACCAGTTGTTTGTCAATTTTTTTAACCTCAGAAAAAATTATAATTTCTCTACACCAAAAGCTATAATCGTAAGTTTGTAGTGTTTCCTTTCGATTCTAAATGGCAGCACCACCCTATGAATGCCCAATATTTTGCAGTTATGAAATTAATATACCTTGTTCCAAGGTATCATGTTTGAAGATTGATAAATTCTATTGGAGAGAAAGAAAAAATTCAAAATCTGTAAATATATGACGTACACATGCTGATCCTTTTATATTTACTGCATTTCAATCAAAACTGATAATAAAAAGAAGATTATGTATACGTTTTTAATACCGGTATATAATATATACCGGCGCCTCTACTGAGGGTACCTTGCCAATAGATGGCAGCACCAGGCTTCTCCTTCTCTACTGTGAGAGATGACGTCATTTCTTTACATTATAATAGTTTATGATGTAACAGTTTGTTTATGATTAATTTACAAGTTGTTTAGGATTTAGTATTATGTTCATGAAGGGATGGGGAGTTTACTGACCCTGCACTAGGACTGAATACAAGTATATTTGTTTCTTTTTATTCATTTTATACTCTGCGCGAGTTTCATTCCCCTCTATTTAGCTAAAATTTTAACTTCAGCACTTCACCCTTTCCCTTCACAAAGACTCACTGATTTCAAAATTGCCATCTGGGGTAAAACTTTTACACAATGGTAGGCATTAAATGTGGCATGTTAGTCCCCAAAAGACCTCCTTTGCTTCCTGTTTTCCCAAATCCTAGAATGCAAAGAAAATTAAAGGAGGTGATTGACAACTGATTTGTCATTCGGGAGTCAAGCCTTCTTCCTTATGTGTGGTGTGATAAGATCACACAAAGAGAAAGCTCACTTAAAAATATGGGAAATGGAAGTGCACTGAAGGTTCATCTCTTAGTGTAATCACAAAAACTGCGGATTTGAAAGCATGCTTTTATTTTGATCGTCTTTGTTAATTTCAGATGAAAGACTAGGGAATGCAAGAGAAATTTAGGGTTAGGTTGTTTTTGAAATAAATTTCACAGTTTGTGAAATGAGGCAAAATATTTCTAAGGCCCATTTTAGATGCAAACTAGAATTTATCCAAAAGTTGAGAAGGAGCCCCTAGGAGGCCAAAGAGGTTGAAAACCAAAATAAGAGCTTTCAGGTGTATAAAATAATAAAGTTGTTTAACGGCGTTTCTTCCTGAACAAAAAGATATGTTATAACCTATATAAAAAAAAAATTTAAAAAAAGGGACCCTTACGGTCGTCAATAATCTAAAGTGTGTGCGTGGGACGATTCTTCGTATCATAGCCTGAACCATGGTTTTTTTTTTACATATTATCTAAAGCATAAAATATAACTTCAAAAATGCAACATACTTTCTCATCTGAGTCCTACTGTTTCATTTTTTAATTTTTAAAATTTTTTGGCTGTTATATCTCTTTGTAATATTATACTAGTTCAGTTACAGCATGGTATGATTTACGCATGCAGTGTCATATTTACTAATTTTTTTATAAAATAATAATATTGAAATTAAATCAAGTTTAAAAGCTTTTTACCCATATTTTACATAAGTATGTTCAGCTGGGTTGCATAATCAAAGTGCATTAAAACATAAATTTTATTTTAAAATTTTAAATTTCTACCGAAATAAAAAAATTTGTGTCTTCAGACTTGCATAACTATATTCAAGCACCCATCTTTACACATGCACATCAAAAGTAAGCAAAATTAATTTGAAAATCAAAAATTAACAGTTGGCACCTACCTGGAAAAAAAATGTCTTAGAGGGGTGCCGGTATAAAACATTTACTGGCTCTCAAAATTTAGGATTTCGCTCTAGATTTTTTTAAAGTCTTAATTTTGTGTCTTTAGGGTCCATAAGTTATAGTTCATGCAAAATTTTACCACAATTTAAATTATTTTATATACCGCCCCTCAAAGGGTTTGAATACAAAAACAAAAAAGGAAATAAGCTGGTTATATTTCTTGTCTGGTAGCACTGGGGAACATTTTGTAACATAATTTTTGTTGAGGTCGATTTTTTAACTTTTTTAGTGTAAAATAGGCATGCTGATTTCAAAACTGTAGTTAGTTTTCTTCTACCACATCAAGTTTTTCTCTACATCTTATGTGAATATGACTATTGTCTGCAGCATTGAGCATGTATCATAGAAAGCACTGTTGCTCTTCTACTGGCTAACGTAACCCCTCTTATTGGCATTGGGTGATGTATAACAAATGACTTTGAATGATGCGGTAGGAGACCAGCAACAGGTGCATAATTTTCTATACTAATTTACTTATGCCTGAGATAATGTAGTGTGATATTATGTATTGTTCTGATGTAGTGAAGTGCATTCTAGTGTAGAGTCCTTGTTTGTGTACAAGGTTAGCAGTGTTTAGTTTTTATTTATATATGAGCTGAAATCTTTTCTTATTTCTGCCTCTGTTAGTTTGTGCTGTAAATACTTAAACAGTCCCGGTTTATTTTTATATGTGTCAGTTTTGCCAATCCCAGTCAAAGGACAAACATCAGTACATTTATCAGGCAGGACTGTTTTGCCTATTTTAAGGTCTCTGGCCTTCTCCGGAAGTATTCTCCAGGCATCTCCAGTGCATCACTCTACTGAATTTACAGTACCCCAGTTTTCAAAGAATTACCCTCTTTGGAAACACAGGATATGATTGTGAATATTCAATTGACCCCAATGACAAAAATTTTGTATATAAAGTTGTTTCCATTCATGAGAGATTTACTTGACCAGCATGCATTAAATGATTTGGCATGAGATTTGAGATCCAAAAAAGCTTCAGAGCTGTTAGCATCAAGAATGCATGAGAAAAATTTGCTTCAAAAAGGAGCTAAGGTATCTTACTTTTGATCAAAAGAATTTCTACAGTACCTTTCCAGCACACTACCTTTTAAAGTCGGAGTTTTGATTTAAAAAAAAAAAAAAAAAAAAAAAAAGTAGGCAGTCTAATAAGGCCTAGAGGAGTACACAAGTAAAATTTTGTGAAGATAGCACTTATCATTTATTTCTATGGGTGTGCACGAAGAGGGCACACTGATTGAATAGAGCTTAGAAAAGATTTCTGAAATGAGCATTGTTGTCAATGAACTGACCGATGAGATGCGAAGAAACAAAGAATACAGACCCTCAGTTAACCTAGATTATCGGTGAGCTCGGTCTGAGCACACATAGGGTTCGTCGTTTGATTTAAGGCAAGATTTCAAGGTAAAAATTTTAAACTAATATAGAAAAAGGAGATTAGCATACAGCCAAAAAAATAACATAGACATTTCTTTTCAAACAATTTCTTTTATACCCTAAAGAAAATCTGGAAGATTTCTTTGAAAAATGCCTGTCTTAAAAAACTAAATATGGCTAAAATATATGGACTGGTTTGTGTTGAGCTGCCATCTACTGTAAATAAAGAAGGTTCAGAGTAACCTATAGTAACTTATAAATCCTTTTTTCATTCATTTTTTCTGTGCGTACAGAAGGAAATTTTTAGGTGTGTCCAGACCGGACACACTGTGCCACAAAGGGTTAAAAAATCATTTTTTTCTCTGTAATTGGAAATGCACTGAATGAAAAATTATTTATAAAGCATCACTGATAGTGTGTTTAAAATATTGAATAATTTTTGTGTTTGTTATGTGTCATAATGTTTAACCTTTTAAGTACTTGCTCACTTTTAAGATATTTTTCATGTAATTTACAATATGATTATAGTGAATGAATACTTTTGGGTTCTTAATAGGTTTATTCAAACCAGACACACTGTGCTGCAAAGGGTTAATAGATTTATGTATTGCCATAATGTGCATGGTTTAATGGAAGAGTTGCGAATTTCAGTCTATAATGCAACTCTGGCATTTGTTCATTGATAGCTTGAAATGTGTCCTCCTTTACAACGGAAATTAATTTGGTACTGTTCCAATAGGCCATATGGTTTGTTTGCGTGAAGAATATAAAGGCATAAGAAGTCATTCATTTGTTACAATATCACATGTACCAATGGATCATCTGCGTTGACCTTAATTTTCTTCTTCCGTGGCCAGCGATACAGATGTATTAAGTATCTTCATTTTTTATGTATATGGGACAGCTGGGCTGTTCAGAAGCCTTGCGTGCAATCAAATTGGCTACCAAGATTGGACCTGAAGCCCGGTGATCCAAACATTCTACATCAGCCACTTGTCAAAAGAAAGAACATTATATTTCCATCTACATATAAAACTGGGTCTCATGAAGCAAATAACAGAAAGAGACTGTTTCATTGCAGGGTGTAGAAAGAGACTGTTTCAAATATCTCATTTCAAAGTTTTGTAGCCTGTCATTTGAAAAGACAAAAGGCTGACTTGTTTGATGGTCCACAGATTCAGCAGCTCCTTAAAGATACACATTTCATTGGAACAATGACAGAACTTTAAAATAATGCTTGATTGGCATTTATAAACATTGCCAAAGTCTTTCTTGGAAACACATGAGCACAAAATTACAAGGAAATTATCCAGCAACTTTTCGAGAGCTTCAGAATGCTTCATTGCAACATGAGCGTCAAATTGCATTTTTTACATAGCCATATTGATAACTCCTCGAAAAATCTTAGTGCAGTCAATAATGAGTAGGATGAGCCATTCCACAAAGATCTGAAGGTCATGGAGGCACAGAACCAAGTTAGATGGGATATACATGTGATGGCTGACTATTGTTGGAGCATTAAGCGAGAATGTCCACAGATTAAACACTCCAGCAAAATCCATAAGCAACAATTTTTGCCTTTATATACTATCGTATATGTTTAATGTTTGGTAAAAAGCTTTACGATTTGTATGAATAAAATTTAACTTCTAGTAACTACATATAGCCTTTGTATGAATAAAACTATTCTTTAAGAACAGTATATTTAGTAAGTTTTCCCTTTATTTGCATATTTTGTATGACTTTTGAAACAGAGAGATGGTGGTAACTGAAAAAGTTGACATGATAGACAAAAACTGAGGTTATTTGTGGATTCAGAGGCCAAAAGGGAGTCAAAAACAAGTGATAGATTTAAGACAACAAAATTGCTGTTCCCAAATATATCTGTTAAAGATATTCCGCGCAGTGTTGAAAAACTGAACCAAAAATATATGAAACATTAGCTTTCAGAAGCGTGTAGTTATAAATGGTAGACCGTGGGTTTTTTTTTTTTTTTTTTTTTTTTTTTTTATGTCCGATTTTTAGTATTTTTTTTTTTTTTCCTTTCCAATATTCACATTACAGTCAAAAGTCGTTAATCCGGACTCGTCGGGACTTCGGCGATTCGGATTATCGATTTTTCCGGATTATAGATCATCAGTTTAAATCTCGTAAGAGGGCATGCAGAAATTCTAAAATTAAAAATATGAAACCGTTAATTTATGAAATAAAGAAACAATTATGATCTAAGGGTATCAAAATTTACAAAAAAAAAAAAAAAAAAGCTTAAATTTATTTGTTTACTTTATTAAACATTTCTCTCAATGTAAGTTGTTTAAGTTGCTTCATTTTATGTGATAATACTTTCTCTTTAATTCTATAAAAAGACATAATTTCTTGTTCAGTTACAAAGTTTCGCTGTTCAAGTCCCGTTAATTGCTGTGCCGAGAATACCGACTAACTTGTCAATCGAATTTTTTTCGTTTTCACTAACCTCTCTGTCACATTCATCATGTCTTTATCCATTTTTTGCAGCAATTCCACTTTTTGTTTGTTGGACATCGAAACATACTTTCGTTTTGTAGATCCTTTGGAAGTTCCAGCATCGGATATTCTATTTGACATAATCGAAAGTTCAAGTTTACTTTTATAAAATTGCTCTTACAGTCTGCAAAAAATAATAAGTGGGATCCAATTCGAAGATTAAGGAACAATGCAATCATTAACATTAACTGAAATAGATAATTAGATAATTTTAGCTTACACCATCCGTTATACATTAAACGCGCAGGCGAAAACGTATTCTGCACTTGCGCACACGCATATGCGCAGTAGTCAAGGTCTTACGCGCACGCGTAAAACGCATGTGCCAACGCGGCGCATGCGCAGAAAGTTTTTAGCTTTGAGGTCCGGATTATAGATCATTCCGAATTATGGGTGTCCGAATTAACGACTTTTGACTGTATTAGCTTTCGGAAGAAAACAATAAATGGAAGCACAGACCTTTTCTTCTGTTGTATTTGCCTAGCATATAAAATAATCAACTTATTTATTGCTCAAAAAAGAGTAATTTTGACTAGAACTGTCTTTTTATATGAGCTATTAATGATTATATCAAATTATTTATTACTCAAAGTAATACAATTTTGATTAAAATGTGTTAATTGAACTATCAGTGATAATAATAAGATCATTAATTTTAATTTAATTTCCCAGTAATAAGTTTCCTTTCTGTTCCAGAGTTGTTTATCTGAAGTGACCTCAGTAAATTCCAAGTTGCAATATCTGATTAATAGTGGAAGAAGTCATCTTTCTGCTACTGTTATTAAACCTCGTATAAAACCATGGGTTGATGCTTTTCAATCTGCATCACATATTATATCTGAGGTATTATGAAAGTTATTTTAATTAATTTTTTAAATATTTCTAAATGTAAAGAACTATGTATTCTGCTTTTATCTAAAGCTGTTAAGTTGAGAAAATTGTTAATAAGTTGTAATCAGAAAGGAAACTCCTCCCTGAAACACCAGGGTGCCAAGCCAAGATTGTACTCCTTGTAGAATAGTTTGATAATTTCGAAAGGTAGTGTACAATAACCAGCAGAAAAATCAAAAGTGTTTTATATATATATATATAATTATATTGTAAGCTCAGGTGGGAAAAGTAGTTTACATAATAATAAAAATTTATATGCTGTTAAGGTGTGTATGAATTAGTGTGAGTAGAGAAGCCGACGAACTGGTGACTGTGACAAGAATAAGGTAATGCAAACAAAGGCAAATTTTATCCATTAAAAATATCAAATACAAAATATTAGTTAATAATACATGATTATGAAATAATTATGTACAAATATTTATAACATACACAAAAATGAGAATGCGAACAGAAAATTCAAAGAATAGCAATTAAGAGGACTGATAATATTTGCAAAAATAAACACAAATGTTAAATTATAAAAGTAGCATATTTACATGATCCATACATTTAATTGGGCTATAGGCCTATCCATATTCTCCAATCTGTTATAGTTGTAATTACAGATTTTAATGCTGGGATTATCAATATTTTGCTACTTTTCAAGAAATTTTTTGGCTAATTTATAATAGTGAGTGTGCAATAACTCAATGCTTAACTTTTTGTATATTCTGTTGCTTCATATATACCATTCAGCACTTACAATTTGTCTTAGAACAGAATTTTGGCAGACTTGCAATCTTTTTCTCATAGTTTTCTTGGTATATGTCCAAACTGGACTTGCATAACACAAAAGTGGACTTGTAAATGAGTAATTTTTTATCTATGGATAATACACTGTTTCAAACAATTAAGGGATATAGTTTGGCTTTATGAACTCGAAACTTCTGGATAATAGATGTAATGTGTGGGGACCATGTAAATTGACTTATTGAGGATCACCCCGAGATAAGGGACTTGCTTGGCTCAGGGAATAGCAGTGCCATAGAATTTCAGGTTTTCCTTGAAGTTGGTCTTCTTGGTAAACATAACTGCTGTAGTTTTTTCCATGTTGACAAGGATCTTCCATTTGGAAAGCCAAGTCTATGTATAACTGGACCTGGAAGTGCACTTTGTGCGAGGACCACTGTGTCGTCTGCATGCATAGCTAATGTTGCGTCGTATGTGGAAGGTTGTGTCGTTCACGTAAATACTAAAAAGTGCAAGTCCTAGCAAAGATCCTTGTAGGACGCCAGCCATGGTGGCATGGCTTGTGGAATTTGTGCCAGAGACATGAACAACAAAGTGTCTACTTGCCAGGTAGGAATTAATAATGTTTATGATGTAGTCTGTTAATCCCAGGATGTGTAATCTGTAGGTGCGGCCATCCAGCCAAACTTGGCAATGTCAAGGATCAAACATCTAGTCACTTTATGGTTTGCCATTCCTTCTGCAATAGTTTCCACCATAAGCTACAGTTGGTTGGTCATGGAGAGATCAGATAGGAAACGTTTTTACACTTCTGATCATAAGTAGTTGAAAAAAAAAAAAAAAAAAGTATGTCAACTTCAAAGTTAGGCAAACTTCAATTTTATATGTTTTATTTTAAATAAATGTCTTTATGCATTCTTAAAAATATTTGACATTACTCAACAGCAGTAGTATTCTGTATTTATACTCGCAGTTGTATTTATTTAAATATAAAAGAGTATATAATGCTATCCATTGGGAAATGTCAAAGTAAATAAACAAAGTGGAAAATGAATGAATTAAAAACTAAAGCAGAAAAAGTAGTCATGTTAATTGTATCACATTTTTCTATTAAGAATCATACAATACATATTTGGTTATTATTGCCTTATTTCTTTTCTAATGCCTTTGGCATGATACAGATAAAAGGAGTGAAATGTTACAGCAACAAGGTACTTTCTCTAATATCACAAAATCTTTTAATAAGCTATTATGAAGGAAGAACATCAGTAACTGTATTATTATTCATTTGAAACAAGTTCAAGTTTCCACATTTCAATAGACGCTATAAATGAATAAATCACACAGCAGTAATTAAAGGAACGTGGGTTGAACAAATCATGTTTGTGTTCAGATACCTTTTTCTTCCTGGCATGAGTGAAGATTGCATAGCCATTTCAAGCCACGTTTTAATTTCATGATATGGAAATTCACACATAATCTTTCTCTAAAAAGAATATATCCTCTTGAAGTAGGATAGCTGTTTCTTCATCTCTTAGCAAATTGTGGAATAAATTACATTTAAAAGAAAAAATTCATAAACTGATTAGATAAAAAAAAAAAACATCCTCAGAGGTGAATGTAATATAGACAGTTTTACTCAGGAAAGAAGCCAAACCAAACCTGCAAAATTTGAGAAAAATGCCAAAACAAACAAACAAAAAACCAAAAAAAAAAAAAGAGAGAGAGAGAGAGAGAATGAAAATGTATGAAATAGTATGGCTTTAATTGAACAAAAGTTAATGTTTCATTTCATAAGTTTTCATTACCTTTAAATAGAAAGTGCAGTTTTTTCAAAACATTGTGTACTTCTACATATCAAGTAACTCAAAGATTATTCTTAACATTACTATGCATAATTTTAATGCTTAAACCCAAAAATTTTCTTTTTATGAAGTATGTATAAGTATTTCATTTTATTCTTTAATGTACTGTAACCACTCTGTAAGACAACCAGCCATGTTCCAGAGGATTTTTTAGTGTTATGTGGCATTCTCTTAGAAAGATGGTTGCTACAAGAGGTTTCAGTGTGTTTAAATTTAAATGCACCCTCTGTAGTACTATGTGTGGGAATTCTCGGTATTTAGTATTAATGGGGGAGAGGAGACGTTTTAGCTGTATGACTCTAAATTTAAAGGATGAAAATGCAAACTAACTATTATATTAAATTTATTGATGATGTTTAATGTATGCAAATGTTTTTATTTTATCTGTATTTATTTATATTTGGGAAATAAAACTTTTTAAATTAAAACTTAGCTTATTGAAGGAGTTAAAGCAGCAAGAATCAGCAAACACAGGTATATGTATATTATGCTGATTCTTGTTACTTTAACTCCTCAAATAATCGATATTTAGTATTTTATTTTAACTCAAATATGAACTTAGCTATTAAACTTACTGTTCCTTTGTTTAGGAAGAATTTTCGCAGTATGAAGCAAATGATGGTATGAGACCTTTCATTCAAAATTTTATCATAAGCACAGACACTTTTCTGAAGTCCCTGAAAGTAAATTAAGCATTTTGAAACTATTTGATTATCTTGCATTACTTAAGTAAGTTGAGATGAATGATGTTTAACATGAATGTTCTTTTATAGGCTAGTTTGACAACAAGTAATTTTGATGCTCTTGTAAGTCTTTTAGCTTCTGATTTGACTTCTCAGTTTGAAAAAGCTGTACTTTCTTGTCAATTCAATAGGGTAAGAATACAAGTTTTCTTCTTGATTAATTTATTTGAAATAATTACCTCTATGGACCATTTTCCTTCCATCTCCCTTCTTCTTCAATGGCTAGACAGCCCAGGATGGGCCCTTGCCTTCCTCAGAATCGAATTCCAAGCTCTTCTATCCCTGGCCATGGACATCCAATTGGTTATATTTAAAATTCTTAAATCTGTTTCCAAACAGTCAAGCCACTTAAGTTTAGGTCTTCCTCTTTTTCGTATGCCGAATGGTCTGGCCGAGAAGATCTTTTTAGTTATTCGATTTTCATCTATTCTGCACAGGTGTTCTGCCCATTTAATTCTTTAAATCCTTATATATTTTACTATATCTATTTCTGTAAAAGGATTTATTAGATTTCAGAGTTAGCTCTTCTTCTCCAGATATTATTACATTTTATGCCACCAAAAATACTTCTCAAAATATTTCTTTCAAAGCAAAAATGATACTTTTAGCTTCTGTCATTGTCCTAGGTCTCAGCAGAGTATGTAAGAATGGGTCTGATTAAGCTTTTGTAAATTAAAATCTTCGTTTTTCTGCTAGTGAAGTTAGACTTCAAATATTTTTTGAGACCGAAAAAACATCGGTTAGCATCTGTGACTCTACTATGGATCTTGATCATTAAACAGGGTTCGTACGGTCCTTAAGAGTCCTTAAAAGTCCTTAAATTTTTTGGAATCAATTTTTGGTCCTTAAAATTCCTTAATTTTGGCCAAAATCAGCAGAAGTTTCTTAATTTTAATCATCTGAAATTTCTATCTGTTTTTACGACTGAAACATAAGCATTTTGAAACTCATTTCTTCTAATAAAGAGCTCTTAAACAATTTTTCGCTTTTGGGGATGTGAATTCTTTTATTAAATGGTTCTAAATTTGGCGACTTATCAACATTTTGGCGATTTTAAGATCAGTTTCTATAGAAAATTTTTAATTCTGAGATCTGAGAATTTTTCGACGATTTTTTTAAAACATTTTAACATTGATAAATTTCATTAAAATAATGGTAATATATTGAAATTAAATTTAATAAACAACATTAAAATAAAAAAAATGTTTATTTTTCGTTGTCATATTAAGTTTCATTTTGGCCACTTATTATACAATATTTTGAATCTGAAAAATAAACAAGGTATAATGCTATAAAGCACGATTTACTTAGCAAAAGCAAAATTAACTATGCAATTAATTAAAAATGTCTTCTTTTTAATTTTTTCATAGTAAGCGTTTTTCTCATGTCTCAGAATATTCAAAATTCTCAGAATATGCATCAGTTTTCTCTATAAAATTAATTTTACAGTTTTTCCCTCCTTTTTTTTTAATTCCCCCAAGATATTTCTGGCTTTTTGCTGTTACAGAATTGGTAGGGATAATTTTTCTTTAGTATTTTAGACATTGCAGCTTGGAAAGTTTAGAAGGATTTGAAGGCAAGATTTATAGACCCACGATTCTAGAAGATTCGAGAAATCTGTGACAAAATAAAAAAATGTCTCCATGGTATCAACACGTAATGGATGTATTTAACAGAATGTTAGTGATGAATTTCTTACTTTTTGGAGAACGTCTGGAAGAACTATGAAAACATAATATTTGAATGTTTTACTCCTGATGCTAGAATCTTTTTCTTAACATGTTTATCTTTCCTTTATTTTCCCTACTTTTCACTTGGCACAAACATGGAAAACATCAAAAATGCTTCTAATCTTATTATTTACATGGGCAGGCATTACAGAAAGGGATTTTTTTATTAATAAAGAAATTGAAAAACTTACAATTTAAAAGATTCATCTAATATATGTCTTAATGCATCATACACAGAGCTGGCACTGGGCATTTTCCCACCTGATGCAATCTCTGTGGATCCTAAATTCTGCTGCCTAGTGCCTTTCTAAATTCTGTTTCCAGTGCCTGCTCTAAATTCTAAAAGTTTTGCCATTTCTAAATTTTGCTGTTTGATGTGTCACTAAATTCTAAAAATTCTGAGACACCAGCTCTGTAACCAGCCTTTACCATATATATTTCATATTTCTTCAGAATGTTCATATTACTAAAGAAATAAAATTAGCCACTTTTTGTTTATACATTCTAAATGCATTTAATGTTTTTTAGAATAACACAAATTCTTAATTAAACCCTAAAATTGAAAGGAAACATGTTGTAGAAAGAAACTGAATACATAAAGAAAATTATTCTTCAAAAGTATATGCAGTTATTATTTTGTAAATTTTTGACCACTAATCCACATTTTTAGTTTGAATTTGACTGTTCTTGTTTAATTACGTCACCGTGAGCTGTAGTTGATTTTGTTAGCATTAGAACATGCCTTTATGTACTAAGTTCTTTTAAATAGAGGCTTATTTAAGCCTTTATCTGACATTGTAGTTACTTTCAGATATAGCGATAATTTGCTTCATGTCTGTTGGGGGTTTGGGACTATTTAACTTTTACCAGATCAAGTAAACCCTCATAGCATTGTGGAGAAGTTGACAAGTTAGAAGATAAAGCATGCAGAAACTAGCGAGAGAATTGGTTTGCATATTGAAATAAATCTCAAATTGTTAGAAAAGATTCTTAAAGAGAAGGAAATCGATATAAACTAGCCAAATTGTTTGGTAAGGCTACAAATTAAAATGACGGATAAATATTTTGTTGAGTGTTGTTGTTACAAAACATAAATGTTTTGTAGCTTTTAATATGTAATTATCCTAATATCGTTTAAGAATCAATGTCATAAATTACATGTATTTTAAATTGTGAAATTTGATTAGATTTTGATTTTAATAGGGCTTTTCTAACAAATATTGTTAAAAAATAAAATTTAGTATTGGCCACGTAAATCCATAATGACTAAGGTTATCTAATAACCTAATTTAATTATTTATAACTAATTGTGTACCCTTAAAAAATATCTCTGCATATTAAAGCGAGTTATTTATTGCCTTTCATTAATCCTCACCATGGTCACAAGATAAAACACAAAAAATTCAAGTAAAACTTTTTCTTTGCATCTAGTGAGACTTAAAATAATACAAAACAACTTATCACCTCTAGTGCTTCAGTGGTGTATTGAAACCTTAAAGTATATTAACTGGGTTACAACCCCTGGAACTCTACACGAAGCTATGGCACAAAGTACATCAAACAAGGCCCAACCAACTTTCAAAACTTGCCAACTGTGCCTACATCAAGCCTTTCAGGTTTTGTTCTAATCAGCAGGTCTCTCTCTAGACAAGCAGTAGCAGTGACAACATTCAGTCTTTTGTTATGAATCTTGCTGATTTTGCTTACTTCTCATTTTAACCTATGACACTTGACATAAAATTTACAAACTACAAGAATCACACAGCATCCTATTTGCATCTGCTCCAACAGCCAATCATCTCTCCATGTCATCCTGAATCACCACCAGTCATCACCAGTAATTACAGACATACAGAGTCAACTTTACCACAGCAGATATAGCAGCATTCAACTAACCACAGTCAAAGTGCACGAGGGCACAGAGGGCAACGAGGCTGCAGACGTCCTGGCAAAGGAAGCTGCCAACGAACCCGATGCCCATTGAAAGAACATCCCAGTTCCGCCGTCTCATCTAAAACCAATATTCCATCAAGCAGTCCTCAGAGAGTGGCAACAGGAATGGAACACAAGTGAAACAGGTTGCCGTACCTATATCTTTCTTCCAAAAATGTCAACGGCCTGTCTCATTGCAACCCCGTAACTCACAAGATATATCACTGGACACGGCCCTTTCCCTTCATATTACTTCAGACACCATATCTCCAACACAGACTCTTGCATCTGCGGCCGAGAAGGAGCACCCGATCATTACATCTTCCACTGACAACCTTAACTCATATTAAGCATCCCACAACAATAACTGAGGCCTTCCAACGCTACATTATCAGCACTAAGCCAACAAAAACACAAATCTGCAAAACCATCAATGCATTAGCCTCCATCAGCCAAGATGTGTGCCAGCCACATTAAACCCTTGCCAGCTTCCCAGTAATAAGAACAGGATCTACTGAGCAACCAAAGAGTATCGACTTCAAATATTTTAGGTTCCATGAAATTGTCACAGGATGCAATGCCTGCACTCCACTAATGCGCAAATTGTGAAACTGCAGAGTGTGTAAATGTTCATCCTCCTCTAGTACAACTGCAGCCAGCTGCATCCTTCTGTGCACGTTCATAAACAGAGACCTGAAGCAACTGTAAACTATGTAAAAATTATGAACAATGCATGCAAACAGCGAATTATTGTGACTACAAACTGACTGTATGAACTACACAACCATACACCTTATGTGCAAACGCTTGTGTAATCTATGCCCTACGAACTCCTACCACAGAACTCAACATATTGTGCACCGTATGCCACCTGAGGTCATTATCCTAGCAACTTAGCTCAACACATGCCTTAATTGTCCTTAATTGTATTTCTTTGCATGTTTTAATTCTTGCTCTTGCTGCCTTTTTTTTTTTTTTTTTTAATTCTGCAACACTTTTGTTTCCTTGCCATATCTGTTCAGTCAAAGTCTCTCCAAATCTGTAAAACAAAACATGAGCGTCCTTGTTTGGCCATGTACAGCTTTTTTCGTGTCTCAATAAACTCCCGAAGCAGCCTCTTGGGGCTCCAGAGAGTTGTTGCCACTAGATAAAGGAGGGCGTGGGATATACGCCTGTTTACCTATGTTAGACACCAGGCGTCCCTGTCCTCCGTAACCTGTAACCTATTAGAGCGAGCTATTGTCTTTCATTAATAGTCACTGTGGTCACAAGATAAAACACAAAAACGTAAAAATTCAAGTAAATCTTATTCTTTTCATCTAGTGAAACTTAAAATAATACTAAAAAAACTTATCACCTCTGGTGCTTTAATGACTTATTGGAACCTTAAAGTATATTAACTAGGTTACAACCCCTGGAACTCTACACGATGCTACGACACTAACTGCATCAAACAGAGCCTAACTAACTTTCAACACTTGCCAACCGTGCCTACATCAGGCCTTTCAGGTTTGTTCTAATCAGCTGGTCTCTATCTAGACAAGCAGCAGTGGTGACAACATTCAGTCTTTTGTTACAAATCATGCTGATTATGATCCTACTTCTCATTTTAACCTATGCCACTTGACATAAAATCTATTTACTAAACCTCTGGACTGACCAAGTGTGTAACAAAATGAGACATAAGAAAAATCAACATAAAGCTAGTAAAATGTAAATATCACTTATCTTCTTTCAAATATGTTCAACTATTATAAGTGTAAAATATTTAATGCTACTTGATAAATTGCATAAAGTTTATTTTATTATCTAACTTATTAATAATTATGTTTATTAATTCATGTTTAGTAATAATGCATACTACTTGCGGATCTATTTTATTTTAGGATGGTATTACAAAAGTGAAATTCAGGCATAGATAATATTTTTAATTGAATTTATTCAGTTCCCATTTGCTCATAGGCCCTTAATTTTTTTCATTAATGGTCCTTAAAAGTACTTAATTTCCATTTGCAGAAATATGTACGAACCCTGTTAAATCATTGAGAGTATTAACTTCTGATCCTAAATATTTAAATTTGCTAACAGTTTCAAATTTGTAATTCCCAATTTCAAAATAGAGGCTGCTGTTATTACCACATGTCATGTATTTAGTTTTATTTTGGTTTATTGCTAGATGCATTTTGCTGGCTGCAGCCTCTAGATATGTAAAAGCCTCTCTAAGTGACTCTGGAAGTGTGTGTGACTATGTCAGTATCGTCAGCAAACGCAAAAATCTGAACAGACTTGTTAAAGATACTTCCACGATTATTAATGTTGGAGTCCTATGATTTTTTGGAGGGCGAGGTTAAAAAGCAAGCAGGCCAGCGCATAATCCTGTCTGAGCCCATTTGAACCTTCCATCTCCCATTGTTCATTAATTGTATAATATTTAGACATATAAAACATTAATTGAGTTTTATTGCATGAAGGTTTGCAAATGTTTATTATATACAAATATTTCCTGTATAAAATATACTTGTTAAGTGCACCACCAAAGTGTTAAGACTGTAGAATGCTGGTAGGTCGATTTAGGTGTGAACCCAGGCGAGTAAGCTGGCTGCATGCGAAGTTTTATGGTTTGCTCCATATATAACGTAAATATGAGCCAATTTCTCATAAAAAGGTTTTCCGTGAAGGTATTTCTTTCCCCCAAGCAGAATCTCTCTAAGGCTTTGCCGTAATCAAATAATTGAACCATCTGTATGACATCTCATATTGTTTAATTTACTATATAAAAATTATTTCATTATTTTCATAAGTGGTTGTGATAAAAATAAATTCTGAAAATTTGAATGAAAAATGTAAACATTTATTTATGTTTTGTAGAAAATAATTGTAAAGAAAAGTGATGAAAACAAAAATTTTTTAACTAATTTGTTCATTTTGCAGTTGGGTGGATTACAATTTGATCGTGAATTAAGGTTAATTATAGCTTATCTTACTACAGTCACTACCTGGACTATCAGAGATAAATTTGCTCGACTGTCCCAAATTTCTGCAATTCTAAATTTAGAAAATGTAAGTATTGCATACTTATAATGTGCATGTTTGTTTGGTAAAAGCTGTCATTCTCTAAAGATAAAAATTTATTATATTATTTACTATGTTTATTTAATAATTCTGATTAAAAATATAAATTTTGCTGCAAATATTATATAGTATAATTAAATCTATGAAAAGAATACATTTATTCATATTTCATAAAAATAATTTAACTGTAAAATTTGCTTTCATTGAAAAAGTTTAAAAAAATATTTATAGCTTGAAATGCACAGGGATATTCAGAAAGTAAGGTCCAATTTCTTATCAAACATAAACCATCACAGATTTTTCTCAAAAAACATTTTTTAATTAATTCCTTATAAGTTTCTTTATTTTCGTACATAGTTTCCATATTTGTTTAAACATTTTTCATAACATTCTACAAACGTTTTTATGCCTAAATCATAGACAAATGCCACCTGTGAAGAGCCAGTCTACTACTTCTTTCATCTCATAATCTGTGGTGAACTGTTTGCTGCTTAGAAACTCTTTTAGGTAGTTGAAACCAAGTAAAAATTACTCTGTGCCAAATCTGAACTGTACAGTGGGTGGTCAGACTGTTCCCATCTAAAATATCTGACTAGGCTTTTTGTGTGAATGGCAGAAGGGAATCTGACATTGCCATGCAGCAATAAAACTCCAGACACCAAAAGGCCACATTGCTTTGCTTATTCTGCACGTCTAATTTTAGTCAAGGCAGTGCAGTAAGCAGCTGCATTTATTATTGTCTCCTGTTGCATAAGCTCAACTAATGAGACTCCTTGTTTTATCCCCAAACATAATTGATATAACCTTGCATTCTGAGATTGCCTGTTTGGACTTGACTCCAACTGGTAATGCCGTGTGACGACATTCCTTTGACTGATGTTTAGATTCTGGAGTCATGTGAGAACATCATGTCTCATCCCCTAAAACTTATCACATTCCTTATGATATCAGTACAAAAAACCAAGAGCACAAGCCATTATTCTCATTTGGCATTCCTCAGTAAGCAGCCTGGGAATCCAACATGTGCACAATTTGTGAAATTATGACTTTTCAAAGACAATTTTGTGCCAAGTTTCCCTACCACGTTTAAAAATTCCAATGCTAAAGTTGAAATTGTGAATCACTGGTCTTTCTGTACTTTCATTCTTCTGAACGAATCTCTTTGTTCACTGCATTGACCAAATCTTCTGTGATCACTAATGGATGGCCTGATCATGGTTCATTATGGACATTTTTCCATATGTCCTTGAAAGCTCTCACCCACTTATGCACTTTGCTGTCACTGATCGCATTGGGGCAATACACGTTGCCTATCTGTCAATGAATTTCCATTGCTGAAATGTTCCTTGCTGTCAAAAACCAAATCGCTGACACTATTTCATAGTCGACGGGCTGATCAGTTGTTTTAAAGACTTTCAACTGCCTCTGTACACAGCACACTGCAACAGTACCAATGCAAATAGCATCATTTGACAAGCAAAGCATGCCAGAAGTTGATGTGCACATGCATTCCAATGTTCGTGCAATATTCGATTAGGTATGATGATTCGGACCTTAGTTTCCAAATAGCCCTCGTATGTCTCTCATGTTATGCTGAAACTAGGAAGTAAATGCAAGAAAAGGAAAATTTATTTTGTTACCTTTGTTTTCTGTTGTTAGGATATAGTGCTTTTAATAATGCAGGTGTGCAACATACTCTACATGGAAATTGCTTTTATTTTTAACATTGCAATTTATAGTTATATCTTTAAATTTTATAATATGTTAAAGAAAAATTTCAAGAGAAGTAAGGAATTTTGGAAATTCTAATGCAACATACACTAAAAGTAATTCATAATTTGAACAATTCTTGTGTGCAGAACAAAAAACTCTTGTTGACCCTTCACCTTCCATAATAATAAAAATTATACCCCCAATATATTTTCTAAATTCTGGGGAACTTTGTTTCATTCTATAGTATTATCATTCCGTGCTTTAATTCTGTATTGTCAATTTCAATTAATTTCAGGTTAATGAAATACTAGATACATGGGGATCTAATTCTGGTTCCTTGACATGGCGTCTTACCCCAACTGAGGTCAGACAAGTATTAGCTCTTAGGTTAGTAAATTATTATTTTTAAATGCATTCTTTGTAGCTGCATAAAGTACTATCAAAATAAGTTAATAAGCATCACATTAAGTTGCTAATTTAAGTATCTTAACCCTTTCACAATGGCGCACCTTTGTTAAAGACCCTCGTGCGGGATGGAAGGGAATTGAAGGCAGTCACTGTACAGAATGGAGGTTTTGCATCACTAAGCCTAATTTTATTTTAAAAAAATGAAAAAATTTTTTGCTTCTAGCACCATAATTTTTGGTATCATTTTAGATTATTACTTGAGCTCTTATATATATTAAAATTAGAACTTAATATTTTTTTTAACATGAAAATATACTTAAAAATTGCTTATATTGTAAAATAATTTTCGGAAGCGCTATTCAAATTATTCCAAAGTTTTAATTGATAAAATCCATGAATAAAGTTTAAAATTAATAAAACAACACAAAAACTATTTACAGTAAGAAGTAACAAAATTTTAAATGAAGACTGAGTGTGGTAAATCTTGAAGCACAGAGAAGTATCACTTTCTGAATCATCACTCTCATCTGCGTTAGTAAATGGTTCATTAACCATACAAGGGTATTCTTCCTCTGATAAGTAGCACCTTCCCGCCATGATAGACTGGAGGTGAGGCTTTCCGAAATAAAAAGAGAAGAAATGGAAAAATATCTGAAGGCAATGCAAAATGTAACAGAACTCCACATAGTCCTAAAAGACTGTACATAGTAGAGAAAAAAAAAAATAGAATAAAAAAAGGAATTGGATATAAATCAGACACGTGAATGTATATATTAATACGTGGCAATTTAAAGAGCCCACCTCTGTTTAGGCTGTAAGAGGGAATGCGCATATGGGATGCCCGTCCTGAAAGAGTTAAAACCTAAAATTTATAAATGCTATAACACTTTTACAACACTGCTGAATATATTCAGCTATTAATATTAAATGAGAATTGTATTTGAAATTATTCTAGTATATGTAAGTTTTATTTATTTATTTTAAAAGTACTTACTATTCTAAAATGACTTCTGTGTTGAACTAAGTAAGAAGGAATATAAAAGATACTATCACAGCTCTTGTTGAAAATAAGGAAAAGAAAAGAAATGAGCAAAATTAAATATATTTTATGACGTGAGCATTCACAGAAGCTTCCCTTTTTGTAGCCAAGTGGGTAAAGCTACTGAAAATTTATGAATTTTACCTTGTTTTTGAAGATTTGATCAAAGGAGATATACAGACTAATAAATGAAATAAGACTACTAATAAAATTATGTAACAAAAATTATTTGATTTAGTTACTTGATTCGAGTATTTTTGTTTTTTTTCTCTCTCTCTCTCTCTCTCTCTCTGTTGTTGTCTGCAGGTTAATTTGATTTCATCTGCTAACTCATTACATAATCTATATATGAAGACATTCATACAATCTTGTGTAATTAGGCATAACTGTGTAAAAAAATGTGATTCATGTGTATGAAATATTTTCTTTTTCCATTCCAGTCTTTTCTATAAAATACCTAAAACTTATGTTTGCTTACTACATTTGTAAATCTTTATGCTGAATTAAAAGTATTTTAATTATTCCTTGTAGTTTCATTAACGTTTACCAAAACTGCTAACCTATAGATTTGTTAACTTTTGTAAGACAGTGATATAAACTCTATTTTTTAAATTATTTCTTTGATAATGTAAGCAAATTTATTATGCAGTGATTTTAATGTTTATTTTTTTAATATATATGAAGAATATAATTCATCATTTATAATGGTTTGGCTTTTCATAATTTAATTCAGAATTTAAAAAAATAATCCCTAGCAATGAGGAATTTTGCAATTCCATTTCTTGTTTGTTATTCAAACAAAAATTTTTGTTGTAGGGAAGTTAAATTAATTATATCTAAATTTTAATTAAATAACAGAATCTAAATTTTATTAGATTAAACAAAGGTGAACTTTCTGTTTAAAATAAAATAATGAAAGTGACAGCTCATGCTATTTTGTTTTTATTGCTCTTCTCCGAATTTTTATAATGCAGTTGGTATTGTAGTTTCATTTAGCCATTTTAACATATCAGCTTTTACATTTCCAAGAATTTCTTCAACTCCTGTGCTAATCACCATAAAGCTTTCTCTAAGAAAAGTTTGTTATTATTGTTATTATTTAAAGCACCAGAAACACTATTAGTCTTGATTCTCACTTTTTGGCTCTATCACTAATCAAATGAAAAGATGTTGCCATCAAATGTTATACCATGTTTTATTTTTAATGCAATAGCATAACAAATATTTTTAAAAAAATGCTTGATTTAAGAAAAGACTGAAAAAATATTAATGGGAACAGTTAACACTGTGTGGGAAATTTTAAAACTATGCTACTCTTAAAGGTTTTGTGCTGTTGAATTTTATGTTGGAAAAATGTTAAGAAAATGAGTTTAACAATAAAGTTTAAAAAAGATGTTTAGGTTATCTGGTTAAAATAATGAATATTAATATGATGAAACTGAAAAAAGATTGAAAAAAAATATGTATGGCACCACTTTCTTTTAAAAATTTTCTGATTTGACTGTAGAATTTTATGTAAGTGCAAGGACAGTTATGATTATTAATGAAGTCAAAAAGACCATGCAGGTTGTGTTAGTAGGAGTGAATTCAAAAGCAGATTGATAAACTGCAGGCTCAGAGCATTAAAAAGCCGTAACAGATCCTCTGGTCTGACATCAATATCTGAATCCTTTCTTTCTTTCTTCCCCCCCCCCTTTTTTTTTTTTTTTTTTTTAGCTAATACTGTACTTGTTCTATACTTAGAAACAGCTTTTAAGGTGTTTGTTTATCTGGTTGTTTGAGTTTATATTAGTTTTACCATCATCCTTATATATCAGATGGCAACCGTTTTAAGCATTTTCTCAATGCTATAGTTCAACTTGGAATGCTGATGAATTGCCTGATAATCCAACACTTTTAGTTTTAACTATTTAGCAATCTAAATTTACACTTAGCTGGATATTTAAATAGGTATAGGAAGCAGCTCCTAACTTTTTTTTTTTTTTTTTTTTTTTCATTTTTGAATCATCTGAGTAGGTAGTACATCTATTTTAGTGGGTGGTATTTGATCTCTGTAAAGGGAATTATTTCCTCTTCTCCTCTGACATTAATCTAAAATTGGACTTGTACTACTAATCCAAAGGGTAACTGATAATTAATTGAAACAAGAAATGTTTAACAATATTAATCATTGGCAAAATTTTTCCCACTGTTTGACTTTATTGAAAAACTTTAATGCATTTCAGGAGGTCACTCAAAATACATTTATTTGATATCAGTGTTAATTTTTGTATCTTTGCTGATTCTTAAATATGATAATCCAATATTTTTTGAAATTTAATTAAAAAAACTATAATGTGTGTTATGTAATCTTCAAATGCATTAACAGGTTATATTTTAATTTCACTTCAGATTTAATCATGATACTGGCAGATATGAAATATTGTTGCATGTGTACGGGTTTGTAATGGATTGAATGCACAAGTCGACAGAAAGTTAATCAAATTTCTTCTTATCCCTAGAAATAATACAAAATGCTGTGATAATTCCTCAAAGATATTCATACAATATCGCAATATCTCACGGTAGTTATATTTTGAACTACTAAAATATAAATAGTACTCAAACAAACACAGAGAAAGCTAATATGACTAATATGATCTCACCTTGAATTCGCTACAATCAATAACAAGAACTAAGTAAAACAACCCCGAAATGACATGTTTTCCTCCAGCATTAATAAGCTTTTTAATCAGTATGAGAACATTCTACTGTTTTCTCGATTTTTCTGTATAGCAAAAGAATACAATTCTGAGATATCTATTTATAAAAATCTTAAATGCGCATGCTCCTGTATTTTAATTTTTCCAGCATAACTCTTTCTTCAAATAAGTCTCATGCTGCTATGCACGAGGATATAAAACAAGTTTAATTAGAAATTCTACTAAAAAAATAGCTAAATAAATACAAAAACCGTAACACTGCCCCTTCCCAAGGACTGCACATTCTGGGCAGTATAATCCCTGGACAGGAAGCCAAACTTACAAATAAGACAAAAATGCAATAACAAGCATTACATTTCAATAACAAACAACATTAAAAATAATAGGAATAAATAACTTTAAATAAATCAAATACTAAATACAAAAAAAAAGGGGGGACCATGGTCTTATACTATTTACAATTATATACACTATGTACTATGGCCATAGTAAGGAGCTAATCTGTTGTAATGAACAAAGATTTAGAGTTTGATGACTCATGGATCCGAACCATGACATCGTTCAGCCTGTTTAGGACTATGTATGGACCATCCCAGGGACTGTAATTTCGAACAGAGTCCTTTCTGTCGAGTCACATTCCACAACCACACCTTGTCTCCTTCTTTGAATCGATGTCTAGCGTTACCAATTTGACTCGCTCTCGTGCAAAATTGTGCATCACTTCAAAATAGGCTTGGAGATGGATATATTCTTCAGGCGATGAAGGTGCATCCGGGGGGGCGACCAAATAAGAGATCACAAGGCAGACAAAGGTCACGAACGATGAGTCTGGGATGGAGAATAGCCGATACTCTCATGTTTCTCTTCCACCCTAGTATGATTTCAGCAGCTTTCTGAGCAGGGTCTTTCAGACAAGGATCAGTGTTTCCAGGTGAGGATCCCTTCTGATGATGAATAGTTATGTCCTCTGATTCTGAAAGCAGTTTGTTGTTTTTGAAGTCCAAGGCAAAATTGTATTTCCTTAAAAGAATCTGTAATCTCTGCTGCATAAGCTGTGTGATGGTAGGCGGCACTTCCAAATGTGATGTTCACATTTAACTTCCCATCTATGTCGATTTTATCACCAGACACAGTCTGGAAGGTAACACAGGATGGCATCCAAATGAGTTTATCTGTAAATTGTTGAGCTAAATCTTTCCAAATAATGGTAACATTAGCTCCTGTGTCAGTTATCATATTGGAAGGAATTCCATCGATATACCCATTGATCGATAG